TATATATATATGTATATACCTTGTACAAACCCAGCCTCTCGCAGTAAATGCCCCTGTAGTGCAGGTACATCGAGTTCCCGGGGGCAAGCTCGCGCACCCGCTCCAAGCACGCTTGGGCGAGATGCAAGTACCCGGGGATCCTGACAAAACCCAGGGCCAGTCTCAGATTGATCCCCACGCTTTTGGAGCCCCGCGCGAACGCCCCGAGGTACAGCTGCGCTGCCCGCTCGAACTCCCTGCTCTCCCGGTGCATCAGCGCCGCGAACACCCCGTAAAACGGCTCCCCGGAGAGATCGTAGGCCATGGCCAGGTGGACGCGCTCCTCCCGCCCGGGCTCGAACGACGGGCCGTCCCGGCGTCGCAGCCGACGGAGGTTCTTCCCCAGCACAAAGTGCCACAAGGGGCAGGCCGGGCTGGCGCGCACCGCCTCCCGGGCCAGGGCCGTCGCCCGGTCGAGCTCCTCCTCGTGGAACATCGACCAGGCCACGCTCTTGCAGCCAGCCAGGGTCGCGCGAGCCACCAACTCTTGCTCTCGGGGTCTTGCAGCCGCGTCGTCGCACTCCCATTTGTCGATGGCCGGTGTCGAGCGGTGCAGCTGGATTATCCTGGATAAATGGCACCGCGTGGCTTCGACGATGTGCTCGAGGACCGTAGGCGAGATCCCTTGTCGGGCCACTTGTCTGTACGACCCAGGGAATAACGTATATACATATATGGTTGGCAAAAACAAAAACGTGTTTGAAAAAAAAAAAGAGCCACTCACTGGCGGTCCAGTTTGACGAGGCATTGGTCGGCCAGTCGCGCTCGTTCCTGGGCCCGGTCGAGCTTGCGTTGAGTCGCGTTGATGTAAACCATGACCGCGGCCTGGACGATGGCGACGACCGGCTGCTCGTCGAAGCCGACCTCGAGCTCTTGCTCCTCCTCGTAGCTCGCGGCCAGGCTCGCGTCGATACCCCAGACGAAGGGCGACTCGAGCGCGAGGTCATTGGTGTCGCGCGGCGCTTTCCTGGCTTCGTCCACACTCGTCCTGGCTATGTGCGTTGGGGCCATGGTTTGTACCTTTTTTGCGGTCGCGAGTTTCCGAGGGACGATAGGTCACGGGTGCCGAAGAAATCAATCTTGGCTGAACGATACCGTACGCGGTGGGGCAGTCTAAGAGTCTATATACACGCACGAGCACCGACCTCAGATGACGAGTTTCTCGGAAAAATGGCCAATGTGTACTTGTACAAGTATAGAAATGAGTGGCACTCGTGCGCGTGTGATGAATACAAATTTATGAGTGTACCTGTGCATGTGTGTTTATTGCAAATGAAACAATACTCGCAAACATATTGTTTTGCGAGATCGCGTGAAATGTTCTTGGATTGAGAAACCAGTCAGAAAGTGTCTGCCTATATATATATATATATATATCTCCTTACCCTTTTGTCTTGCTTTTTATTGCGCGCAACACCGTTTGTTTATACTTGTTACTTTCTTGAATATTATAAAAGCGTGATATGATTGTACATATAGTTATAGACATATAATGGGATGTTCCACTTTACGTCAGACGGCCGAAAGAGGTGTACGATTTTGTGGATTTTTTTTTGACGAAAACACTTTAAACTTGTGACCATCACTCGTGGCTTTGGCGTACATTAAAAAATATAAAAAAATTAATGAGTAGTATTTTCATGAAGGACTATCGGTCAGCATGGGTTTCGACAAAAATATTTTTTTTACCGTCTGACTTGACGCGGGACATGCCATATACATAATATATTACATAAAACTACATCCATAGCGATTTCTTGGACTATGATATATATATATATAAGTAGAGTATAAATGTCGATTCCTAAATTTAACTTCCAAACAAACAGATCCGAAGGTGTGCCCCTATTCTTACATTTATGTACTCACTACGAAAGATAATATACTTTAGTGTATGTAAGTTTTGCTCATATACACAAGTATGTGTATAAATTGATCGATAAATTACCTTTATTTATTAGATTTTTGGAACTACGCTGTAGGAACACAATTATACACTACGTGTTTTTGTTTATCTCAGATATATATTGTAAAATAATATACATACATGGGTCATTTTACGAATAATGCCATTTTTATTGGCCCTGTCAATTGAAACGTCATTTACAGAGATTTTATTTTAAATACTTACTTAAATAATAAATAGTGTTTTTCGCCCTCGGGTGGTTTTGGGAGGCTGTTACTTCCTCGGGCGAAAAAGCAGTTTTCTGGAACTCGTTCGAAAAGTCTCCTTTACGAACCTCGTTACGTCCCTCGCCTTCGGCTCGGGCCGCAAACGTCTCGGTTCGCAAACAGAGACTCTTCAAACTCGTAGGAAAACTACTATTTTCTGATAAAGTTCCATCAAAAATTAGATCATAAAAAACGATATTGCTTTTATTTCAAACGGAAATAAGGGCGACTACGTTGGCGTTATAAGCTTGTCCCATTATGTCCCCACTCTAATCCTCCATGCATTTGTGTAATGGCCATTTGCGATTGTCGTTTTTATTGTTCCTTAGTTTTCGGCACAATACTGACATAGTCAATAGCTTTTGAGTGCTGCGTATGAGAGAAAAATGATTTCGTGAGTAATCAAATTCTAATGATCTCGAAAAAGCGACCCTGTAGTTGGAATCGCAGTCCGAGACAAAGATTTTTTTTCCCCAGGGAAAAACAATGAGCCGTCCTTGGTCGTGGAATTTGGCGTATTTCAGATGCACGAAAATAATTGTTTTCTTTGGTATGAAATAAGGCAAGGCAGCACCTTGTCAGACATCTCTGACCTGTTCTGATGGACCATAAATACTTACATGCGGCTACACGGAGCGCACTTACAAGCTTTACCTAACCATTAAAAAAAAAGTAAAAAATAATTTTAATTACATCCTAACTCTTCGCTACTTCAATTGTACTTTATTAGAATGACAGAACACAGATAATTACTAACCTTTTACGAACATATATTTCTTATATATGTGTAAGACCTGAAGTATTACGTGGGTAAAATATTTCGTTAAAATAAATGTTTTAAAATACATTTATATCTAAATTTACATACAACTGTGTTGATGGATTCGAAAATAATTACAAACGTTTTTAAAGTAAAAATTAAACAGTACCACTATTTTATTTGGATACAGATACTTATAGATGCAAGTACTCATTGTGACCAAAGTTCTACGAAATCCTTTTTTTTTTTTTTTTTTTTTTTTTTGGCCAAATTTCACTAATAGTAAAAAAAGCATTCAAGGGGCGTACATTTTCCAATAATACTGTTGCTTAAGGATACGATCAAAAAAAAAAAAGTAAAGTACTAGTATTATGATTAGAGTGTGTTAGATTGCGAACAAAAAATAATTTTCAAGTGGCAACAATCAATCGATAAATATTAGATAGATTTTCACGAGTTTTTTTACGTAAGAAGGTAATGCTTAAAAACTAAGACTCACACTTAGATGATGTATTTATAAATTATTAACAAAAGTGTTTTACATATAATCCTTTAATAGTGTGTATCAATAATGAATGCTTAAGATAAAAAAAAAAAAGTGTTGCCCCATACGACCTAGCTCTAAAAGCAGAAATAATTTTTTGTTTTCGTTTAAATTCTTACGACTTTGTTTATTAACGTAAACAATTGGGATTTAGACAAGGGATACTCTTAAATACCTAAATATTTAAGGAAAAATCATTAAACAAATTATTAATTAAAGCTATTTCTCGCAATCAAGATCAAATTAATATATACTCAAAATACATATATTGTGTATATTTGTCGGTCGGTACTCTCGGTACAGTCGGTACAGTCGCTGCCTGTCGCACCGTCCGTCGGTGCATCAATTATTAATTATTCATTAACGCTCCGCTAGATGGCGCCGATTTGGACCTCCATCTTTGTTATTGTTTCTTTCTTGTCGAAAGCGGCAATGTGTGTACTGTCACTTAATTAACAACAACATGTGTATCTTCGAAGTAAAAAATTCGTCCTTGCAATTTGTTTTTACTTATAAGTAGATGTAAAATAATTTTCAAGTTGTTCGACGCATTTTGAAGTTCAACCCGACAATACGTGAAAACGTGCAATTTTGTTTAATTTTATATTTTATAAGGTATACTATAATAAAATGCATTCAAGCATTAACAGTTATTTTTTACAACCGTATTCAATTGTACCAAGAGTGTTTCTATATTTATAAACAAATCGAGTGGTGAAACAAGTGACGTTTCTTCGAACTTTTTGTCAATTTCAAACGTTCGTTTCCCCCGACACTTTTTTAGGTTAAGCCCGTCAAAATCAATAGTTTTAATTGTCCTTGAAGAAGTAACTCAAGTAGCACAGTCGAGTGCTTGCTTTGAACGACTTTGATATTTGACATAGTTTTCTCCCTCGTCAATAGTAATAATTAGAGACTCGTATATTCTTCTTCAATGCGAGTCCTCGAAAATCTTGTGAAGTGTGTGCACGCCTAGCCTGCTTTTGTCTGCAGGGCCAATCCTCTCTTTCTCTCATCATATTTCCCCAACGACCTTACTATTGATAAAACTCCGAAATTACCTTTGCAAGTCTATAGGCGGATGCCACAAGCGCAATAACACCGCAACTCGAATAAAAAAAATGTACACTCGGCAGAAGTAATAATAATATGAAATTGAACTGTATTATAAAGTATACGAGTTTTAGTTTTTATATCGTAATGTCAAAGTGTCATTTATTTTACAGGTAAACGAAAATGTTCAAGAACACGTTTCAAAGTGGCTTTCTGTCAATTCTCTACAGCATAGGCAGCAAACCGTTGCAAATTTGGGACAAAAAAGTTAGAAATGGACACATCAAAAGAATCACAGACAATGACATTCAGAGCTTGGTTCTGGAAATCCTGGGCAGCAACGTCAGTACAACGTACATCACGTGTCCTGCAGATCCCAGAAAGACCCTGGGGATAAAACTGCCTTTTCTGGTTATGATTATTAAAAATTTGAAAAAGTACTTTACCTTCGAAGTGCAAGTCAGTATTCAATCATCATTATTTTTATCTTACTAATACGTTTTCGTATTTCACTAGTGCCATTTTCATTTTTTTTTTTTTTTTTTTCAATAATTGTTGCAGATTATTGATGATAAAAATGTAAGAAGACGTTTCAGAGCAAGTAACTACCAATCCACGACCAGAGTAAAACCATTTATTTGCACAATGCCAATGAGACTTGATGATGGTTGGAATCAAATACAATTCAACTTGGCTGATTTCACGCGAAGAGCGTATGGAACAAATTATGTAGAAACTCTAAGGGTGCAAATTCATGCAAATTGTAGGATTAGAAGGGTTTACTTTTCTGATCGATTGTACTCTGAAGATGAGTTACCAGCAGAATTCAAATTATTCTTACCTATTCAGAATAAGGTCAAGTGTTAATGAATAACAATTATTTTAGTGCTCTAAATTGGTTTCAAATAAAAAATATAGTTAAATTAAAAACATAGCAAAACTAAATCACAAACACTAAAAAATTTTAATGTTTGACTGATAATGACACTAAATGTGATATTTTTATTTGTTACTGCAAAAAGTGATCAGATACTTAGTATATCATTAGTACAAATGGTCGACTGGAGTATTTTTTTGGGAAGAAAATGTATGTGCTTACAATTATTGTGAACTTAATTTAATGATATGTGTGAATCAATTATGCTAATGGTGAGGCACAAATGCGATTTGTCTATCGAAAGAAGATAAATACTGTTGTGCATTAAATCTTGTCAGTCAGTGCCTTGCTTTTCATATTCACGGACTTTGCACCTTAAATGATAAGCAATCACCTATCATGTTAAAATTTTCTTTCAGTCCTAAGTTAACCTGCTTTTAATAAATAATTTTTACAAACTTACTCATTACCTTTGTTTCCAGCAACCCACTTAAATATGAAGGCTATCCTGATATTGCACAAGTACATGAGAAATTCTGCAAAAAATGAGTTGAATTTTACTTTGCGTTTTCTGCACTTTTTTTTTTTCATTTAAGGTAAACAAATACAACAGTTGTCACCCTGAAGAATCCTCTTTCAAAATGTGACTAGTCAGAAATCAAAAGTTTAAATCAAAGTGAGAAAAAGCTTTCAAGTGAATCTTGTCAAGCTTATAAGTAATTTCCTGATCAAAAGTTTAATACAGTTAAAGGTCATTCGTCAAATTCAAATAATGTTCATAAAAATGATCAAAATTTAAATAAAATTTGATTGCTGCCCGTTTCCCGATATTATTTTTCAACTCAAAAAGTCAGCTCCGATAATAAATTACACATTGTATAAAAAATACGTACTTATTTAATCCTAGGTGAAAAAAGCTGCAATTTGCCCAATAAAATAATTGCAATGATTAACAATAATGTCCCAAACCTAATGTCTATGCTCTCGCATGCGTTGATTTTCCCTTTAAATTGAATATTTTCACATCGACAAAACGTAAAATCAATCTTACCTAAATGTACTGACGAAAAAAAGCGAAACGTTGATGTTTCACGTCTTAAATTAAGAAAAATTACGAAAATTACATATTGCGCGCATCGAATCCCCTACATGACACGAAATATCCAAAAAGTCAAATAGAGCGAAACACAATAATACAAAACATATATTCTCGAGGAGCCCCTGTAACTTGTAGTTCTTCGAACGAAAACAAAACGAGATATAGCTCGCCACTGCAACCCTTTCGACTCATTTTCTCTTACTGTCATATATTATTCATCGACTTAATTAATTATACACCTATATATACATTTCAGGCTGTGGTCATACACACACATATAGCTCAGGTCACTCGCAACATCTATTCACGTACTACAGCAATCCACAAGTATAAGTATGATGCACACATATCAGCAGCAAAGTAAGCGCCCATCGACACATTAATTGCTAATTATTGAGTATTGATTTTTTTTGTTTTTTTTTACCATGGGCAGTAGAGGGGTAGAGGCGGGGGGGGTTGACGCCTCCCCCATATTTTCCTTTTTACCCCGGGAAAGGGGAGATGGAAAAAGAGCCAGCCGGTGCACCCTGTGCCGCGTGCGAAGGGACAATTAAAACACGTCGCGCGCACAGCCTCCCTCCCGATTATTTCCGGTCCAGAAGGAAGGGGTGTGAAAGCTCGCGCTTGCGCCGAAAGCTGGACCGTTTCGGAGTCTGCGGGGAAAAAAAAAAAAATTCGAAAGCTCTTGTTCTCGATTGGTTCGCAAAGACGCGCGAGTCATTGTTTTTCTACAAACATTTTCTGGATGAAGTATGAAATTGCTCATCGCGTCACGTTTACACGGGGGATACATTAATGTAGGCACGTAAATGGCAACAAAGAATGGGTGGGGGGGGGGAGGGTGGCAAAACTGATTGTATATATATAAACAGCCAGAGATGAGTTTTTGTAAAATTTATTTATAACGAGCAACTACTAATCGTAGCTACGATTTGTCACGTGGTAGCGCGCGTCAGCGAGAAAGAAAGGTATACATGGATATAATTAGCAAGCAAATGAGTATCGCTAAAAATGGCGGAGCAATTAAAGGGTGCGAACAGAGTTCGTCGTGGCGTCAATCAGTTACGATTCGTCCTACACTCTACTGTGATCGGAGGCAATTGTCACAATATTTTTTTTTTTTTTATACCTTCCATTTCACGGACGATAAAGATAACAAGTGTATATATATATATATATATATTATTGTTTGTTTTGTCCACCTCTCTGCAAAAGAACCTCCCCCAAAGGTTTATTTATAAGAGCTCGAGCTATAGTATACATATTATTGTGTGGAGGGGCACGCGGGGGGAGGCAGACGAGGCGGAGGTACAGAACCGCAGCTAAAATAAAACCGCGATCCATAACATCGGTGGGAAGGGATGTGTGTGGGTGTGTAATGTATCGCACCCTTCCCCCACCCCTGTATACCTTAGCTGCCAACCCACTTCTGTGGGCGTATGGATACAGGTTTATTTATAAATACCCTCCTAAAAAATCATCCCCTCGAAGTAGGGAAAAGGTGGATAGGGTTGTGTAGACACACACACACACACACACACACACACACACACATTAACCGAATGGACACTTGTGAAAATTTACGCGAAACCTACCTACAACACCGGAGGAAGGGTTGATATACGAGACGAAGGGTGCACACGTATACGTATTATACGTAGTAATGATAAACGTATACACCGCGCGGCGTACAACCCGTGGAGGAGGGTTGGTAGGGAGGGAGGGAGGGGGGGGGTGGGTGGATAGAAAGAGCAGACGAGGAGGGAAAAAGATCAGCGGTGGTAGTGGTGTGGTGCGCCCCTACCTGGATCCGCTGCGAGGCTGGAAATGAAGAAGACGAAGAAGAAACGCCAGCGGCGGGCGAAGGGAGGGCTCGTCGGGAATAATGTAATTGTCGTGGTGAGGAGAGGAGGGCGGAGGACCGTAACCGAAGCGGCGCGCGCTTTTAGTGGAAAAAGTGCGCCGAGACGAGATAGATGCCGTCGGGCGCGGACGCTGCATATCATATTTATTTATATATATACACCGTGTAGCCCCTAAATACATACATGTATATGTATATTGTTTACGGGCGTTGTATACGCAGACCTGGGGCATCGTGAATACAAATTGATAGCGGCGAGTGGCGTGTTTTGTCGTCGATCGGTATCGGTTGCGATCGAGTGATCCCCCGGTACGAGGCGCGGGTGATGCGTGACGCGATCGAGATCGCTACGCGAGGGAGGGATCATCGTGCATAGCCAAGCGATGGGAACCACGGGGAGAGATCCGACGCCGAAGATCGAGCATCAGCTGGAAAATAAGGAGGAGGAGGGGGTGGTAAACAGGGGAGCGCGGCTGGTCCAACAGAGGTGCAGGATATGCGCGGGCTCGGTGCGGCGAGTCGAGGCGAGGGAGCCCGAAGACGGTGGTGGTGAGGCTCAGGCCGGACAGGCTGTGTGCGTCTTTGGCGAGGAGGGCAGGAAGAGGAGCTTGCAGAGGAACGTGCTCAAGTACCTGCACATTAGGGTGCGAAATCCTTTTTTTTTTTTTTTTTTTTTTTTTTTTTTTTTTTTTTTCTGTTGCTGTCGTAGGTGGTGTTTTTTTTTTTTTAATATATCAGAAATGTTAAGGGAAAATTCTTGGGGGAATACAATTTTTAAACAACAAAAACAACGTGGCTTTTCACTCACGTGTTTTTTCGTTATTTCAAAAGCACGCAAAGCTCCACATCCACCCAAAACGGATGTTCCTCGCGCTGTGCACGTGTGCCTCTCTCTCCCTTCGTGATCTTTATACTACATAGGCATATTCATTTCTTGTCCTTTTGACCCTTTTTATACAAAAAAAAAAAAAAAAAAGCCTCGAAAATAAAACGAAACCCTTGGTAGGCTTCTTATGTCGGCCTTGGGAGCTTATATTGTAAGACGAACAAAAGAATCATAAAAACAATACGAGAGACCGCAGTAAAAATGATGTTAACAAATTATACATGGGAGGAGAAAAAAAGGCATTTATAATTTAAATGTAGATACGTACGAGTACAGGCAGAAAGTCATAATACTGTATGTGCGCGAAGTGGATGTAGAGCGAAGCAAGCTGGGGAGGGGTGAGGGGTTAAATTGGAGCGCGGCAGTGGTAGGAGGAGGCTGGACCTGTAAAATTGTAAAGAATTAGCATTTTATTGATTACCAGCGCTGGCTGCAGTAGATACAGACAGGGGAGAGAGGCCGAAGTATAATATATATGTATATAGAGGGCGGGAGTCGTCTGGCGTTAACGCGACTGTATCTACTTGTACCGTGTATATTTTTTATGTGAAATATACACCTATACGTATTATTACGTTGCTTTGATGACGATGCGCTTACTTTTTCATCATATCGTACTTGTTACTTATCTGGATTTTTTTTTCTTTGAAGTATTGTCGTTACACGGAGGTACACATGTATTTTTTTTCTGATCACAAAATATTTTTTTGTATGGTAGTGATTTCGTGCACTTTCGACGTTTCATTCATTTTTTCGCATCTCAATAGCAGTAAATTACTTGACCAATTCTACCTTTAACGAAACCTTTCTCAATGCAAAATTAAATACAGAAAATTTTGTAAAAAAAAAAAAAAAAAGAGCGGATAAATTTGTGATTTTTTTTGTTGGTAAATAAAATGTTTCTTGCTTGGATTCTTTGATTTATTCGTAGTAAAGAAACTCTAGTAATTTTTTTGTAAAATATGTAGTTTTCGCAAAAAACAATTGTTATTTAATTCATGATTCGTCGCGAAATTTGGCATATTTTTTGTTGAAAAGTTATAACGTTATTTAAAAATTGAAAATTAATAAAGTAAATTTAAATTTTATTTAAAAAATAAAACAAACAAAACTGGTTTGGGAGATCTTTAAATCTAGAACTAATTACACGTACAAACATTGAATTTAAAAAAAAGTAAAAAAGAATATTAAATTTTAAAATCAATACATGGATTGGTTCGTGCTCTTGTATTCTCAGCCGGAGTACGAAATCACCTTGATCCCTATGAAAAAAAAAAAAAAAAAAAAAAAAAAAAATGGGTGATCACAGATTTAGACTTTTCGCTACGTCTTGAAGTGTGGGACGGTTGCAAGTGAGGGTAAAAATTGATCGACATGTCCTCGCAAGTGCAGTTTATATAGATTTAACCGAATCGCATGTGGCCGTTTTGAGAGTTGATGAATATTTAATTTGCATTCAAGTAAATATACCTCCCAGCGATTTCGTTTGCGTAAAATTTTGAGGATCACTAACATTTTAAAAATATTTTGCTTGTTTTTCTTAACAAATTGTAAGTTTTATTTATAGATTTCTACACCTATTTAAGTTTTTTTTCCCTTATTCTGGTAATAACATAATATGAAGTACAGATCCGAAAGTTGCAAATAATTTACGAGGTTAATAGCACATTGGGTGACATATCAAATTAATCAACAAAGATTTCATTATTCATCGGTCCATTGTAGGTCCAAAGCCAGAACTTTTACGCGCTAACGCGCTGCAATTTTCTGTTCGAAGTAATTAAACTAAATGCACACAGTAACAACTTCATGAACGCAAATAAACGAAAAATAGGGATAGAAAAATAATTTTCACAGTACATATATACGTCTATAAAACATTAAAAAATAAATTAAAGCGGATAGAACAAATTTAATAACATAACTGCTTGTGTACTCAAAAATAGATAACTTCAGAAGACACTTTGCCGAAAATGGTGTGTACGACGTGTATCGATAAACTAGATGGGATTCACGACTTTGCGACGATGGCACTGAGGAGCCAAGAAAAACTGAAACAGGAGCTTCTGAGGGTACCCGGCGATCCAACAATTGTTGTCGACAGTTTGGACAGTTGTCCAGATAAGCTCGAAGACCGCGGTCTTCTGCACTCGATATTGACAAAGGTATATAAGTTATATTTTTTAATTTTACGTATAATGGATCCTTTTTGCGTTAAGGTCAATAATATTCTCTTTTTGAATATTTGTTAGGTACATCTGAATTCATATTTTCGTGATTAAATACTCATTTTGGAACATTCTACAGATGCCTTAGTGAAAAAAAAGATAACATATCGATTTCGAATGCGAGGAAGTTGTGAACCAATTTTTTTCTCCTGATAGTTCTTGTACTAGTTTATTTTCTCGTTGAAGAAAAATTTTTCTTGATCAAAAATTTAAGTAACTCGTTTTTCCCATGAACCAAGCATATAATTAAATTCTAAAAATGATTAATTCCCAAGAGTACCCTTTTGTAGCGATAAATGAGAAAACACCTGAAATCGGCACTTGAAAGATCAACCATGTATAAAAGCGTCGTATTTTTATTTTATTTAATTATCATCTAAAAAGGGATCCATCGACACCTCGAACGGCGGAGAGTCACCCCCTTGGCGCCAAAGAACACCGAGCACGGAGGAAATGGAAGTAAAAATCGATCCCATGCTGTTCCTCCAGTGCGCCCTCGAGCAAGCTTCGTCGGTCGATTGCTCCGATTACTCGGACGACGACTCCGACAAAGAAGTCACCTCTTACGGCACTCTGACCTCCGAGCCAACGACAAACAGGTGAACACACACACCACATAATACACACGTGGATCGTGACACATTGACGAATCGACATTTCCCAGGGCCCACAAGAAAAAGCACACGTCGAGCTCGACGGCCGAAGAATCCCAGGCGAAAAGCCACCGCGACAGCAACGACAACGAAAACAGCCCCGACAACGCGGTGAAGTGCAACTTCATCGACGAGCCGGATTACTACGACGATTACGAGGACCATCGTCCGGCTTACTTGGAAGAATCGCACGACGCCAAAGTAAACAAGCCGCACTCGTGCAAAGTGTGCGACAAGCCCTTTGCCTCGCAATTGGCGCTTCAGAATCACCTGTGGTCCCACTTGCCAACGACAACGACGACCACCACGCCAAACGGTCAGGACTCTTCGTCCTCGCTAATACTCAATGGCTGCGGGGTGGAAAATCATCTGCTCGGCGAGGCGAGCTTCATCTGTCCGATATGCAGCAAGAGGATCTCGACGAAGGGCAACCTCAAGGTGCACCTCGAGACCCACAGGCCCAAGGGCAAGTACGGCTGCGACATCTGCGGGAGGATGTGAGTACCTTTCGACTCTGAAGTTCAACTTCTCGTGTATTGTGTGTATATATATATATATATATATATATATATATATATATATATATTATACCGCGCCCAAAGTAAAAAGAAAAAAAAAGAAAAAAAAGAATCAAACGTACATGATCTTTGAAAAATTCTTAGCTTCAAAACGCAATCCAACCTCTTTCGTCACAAGGAGTACCACAGCAACGTGCAATTCCCGTGCTCGGTGTGCGGCCGGGTTTACCCGACCAACTCGACCTTACGAGCGCACAGCATAACCCACTCGGACCTCCGGCCTCACGCGTGTCCCCTGTGCGACAAGACCTTCAAGCGCAACCAGGACCTCAAGTTCCACATCAACCAGCACACCGGAGCCCGGCCCTACCAGTGCCCCTACTGCCCCAAGGCGTTCGCGAGCTCGGGCAATTGTTTCTCGCACCGCAAGCGCATGCACCCGAAAGAGGTCAACCGGGACCGGCAACGAGCCGCCGATCTGATGAGATGAGTCGCGCTGGGGTGTGATGACGCAGGTGAGCGTTTATCCCCTTTTTACTTGGTGAACGTTAAATTTTCCATCCTTATTGAATACACGTGTATTTTTTGTTTAAGATCAACGTGCAGCCGACAACGAGGATAAATTTATGTCTTAATAAAAGAGATGGTATCGACTCATTGAAACTGACCCCACGGCGCGTGCCATCACATCGAGGAAACGGTCTAGCCCTGTGATAATAATAAAAAAAAAACCAATGACGATCCGACAAACGAGCTTAAGTGTCTTTTCATTTTGGTCGGACGCGACAACAAAAATGGGAGGGGGGGGGGCTGAATCTTTTTGAAAGTGAGTGTTGAAACGAGAAAATCGTCACGCACAATAAATTGGACGCGTGGTGACGGAGATGGGTGTGTTGAAGCAAAAAAGAGGACATTGAAAGACTGCAAAGTAACAAAAGAAGAAGAAGAAGAAGAAACAAATAATGTATAACGAATTCACGTGTGTCAAATTATTTAATAAGTATATCGTTATGAAATACGGGCGTTGTTTGTAATAACCATGATATACATGTTTCACGTGGTCGAGTTTAGCGATTCTCGTAGTTTCTTCAACATTAATAGATCGTGTATTTATCCGTTAGAAAAAGTATGATATTTGAGGAATGCTCTCGTAAAATGCGATAACGTATACGTATGAGTGTACGATAAATTGATGTTCATACCTGAATATAGAAAGAGAATGCGTGATTTTAGAGTAATATATATATATAGAATCGACATTTATAATTCCTCCAACAGTATTAAATATTAGAACCTACGAAATTGTGGTGATTAACTAATGACCAAAAGATATTATGTCTTCGTGTATAGTGATAGAAAAGGAAAGAAAAAAAAAAAATAGTGCTTCCGTAAACTTGAAACAATTGTACTATACGTATTATGATTGTAAAGAGTCCCAGTACGTGTATTCATATATAACGACACGTGTGTACAATACCTAGGTATAATTTAGTATGTAGAAATAATCTTGTATTTTATATTGAATTTTTTGTAACGGTAGTTTAGCGAAGGAAATTTGGAATAAAATTAAAAAAACAAAAAGAAGATAACGAACAAAGGTGCTTAGACATATTGTATAGAGAAAGTAATTCGTAAAGTTACAATTATTTTTTTGTCTGCAAATAAGTCGATGAGAATAATAAAAATTATTAGCAAACATTGATTATACGAATTAGATCGAAGACTGTGACTACATATGTTTGTTATATGGTGTGATGACCAATAAACAGTATTATTTGCCCAACTCGCTTGTGTTTGTGAAATTCATTTATTACTCGTATCTAATTATTTTATTATTATTCAGTTGTTAAATCTGACAGTCTATGGTATTTTATTTTAAATGTTTTGTTTTTCTTCACATTTGTACGTGTAAGCCTTGATTGAGGAAAATATGATTAATTTAATTAAAAATGCATAATATTGTTTGGTGGCTTGGCTAAACAAAAATTTCTTTTTAGTTTAAGTATCAGAAAAATTTTATTTTTTTGTACAAAATATGAGAGTTTTTTTTTTATTCCTTTGAAATTTCGGGACACATACTGTTTTGAAAACGAAAATAAAAAATTATACCAATTAGTTAAAAAATAATTAAAAATTAGTACTATTATAAACAAGAACAAAAGTATTGTAAAATGGTAACGAATAAAATTTTTAGCTAGCTTTTCTCCAAACAATTAGTAGTTATTTTTTAGGATTTAACAACTGAAATATTCAAACAGTATTAAGTGTGTAACTACTCGCACAATAATGATTATAGTACTTATGTTGTAATCAGTCTACTTTCACATTAGGTATTCTGTGAATAATTTATATTTCCAATGCTACTTTTCAATACATTTTTTTACAATACTTGTTTAAAGGTAACATTCTATTTTTAAACAACAATCATTTTACACCTTATAATTTTTCCATCAAAACGACGGAGTACAAAAAAAAGTTCTTAAAAATTACTGCAAAAAAAACGGATGAAATCCACACCCATATTCGTATTATAACTGCTGCAACGTTGTATACTTGAGAGAGGACTCGTAAAAACACGGCAAACCCTAAAGAGTACTTCAAACATATATACCTATGTATATCAGACGAGCAAGCGTCGTCAAGCCAATCATCGTAAAAATGAGAGTTTAAGCCGATGCATATGAGAAAAAAAAAAAAAAAAAAAAAAAAAAAAGCTGCATGTATTCGCTACAAGAGTCGGCGTTGTTTTTCTCTCCTCTGCAACTTATTACGTAGATTAGATATACTCATGCCTATATTTACACGATACGTATAAATGAGCGCGCACACACATGATCATCCTTATCCACTCCCGGTCAATGAAGAGACACACGTGCTTACATGTCAGCGCAGTAAATTTGCAACTTTACGACAGGCAGGTTCCACCGCTGGATCTCTCTCTCTCTCTCTCTCTCTCTCCCTTATATAATGACGCTTTAATTTTTTGTTGTTGTTGTTGTTCATTTTTATCCGTATAAAAACACAATATACCCTCGTCGCATGCATAACACTCTTTTATTTCACGCGAACGGGTGGCCGATAAGGAATATATAACCACTACTGCGATCGTGTGCAATAGACAAACAATGAAAAATCAAAGAGGTGTGATTCTCGATGGATCATAGTGGACAAGGTGATTGAAGTATCACTAGAGGTACAGTAGAGCCGTCAATTTATTGAGATAACACTCGCGACAATCCTTATTTTAACATTTTTTATTTTACCGGAACATGTGTATTGTATTTTTAGATTTTATTCCATCGTTGGTTTTTGTGACGCAAATATTACATGCATGATACAATTCCGCTGGTCCGTCGTGTGGGTATATTTTCTTTTTTTTTCTGCAATGTAAAACTAAGAACAAATCTCGTTGATAAATTTCTTTTGTCCCCTTATTTCCAGCTTCCACTAAATTTCTTTTGTAAAAAAAAAAAGAGAAAAAAAATTATAGTGAAAAAGAGAACGTAGTTTCTCCCGGTTAAGCACTTTTTTAATTAAAAAAAACTTCTTCGTATCAAATGATAAAGCCACATCGTACGTAAGTATAGATAAGCGTAATTGCATTGTCCACATGAACATGCTCGAGTGCATTTGTTATTTATTAAACTAATAGAAAAAAGTGTTACTCAAATTTATAATTTTGGTCGAACTTTGCCGTCGCAATTTTTTTAAACTCCAGTCGTTGTAATTACAACGAATCAATTGTAAAAAAAAAATAAATAAATAATAATAATAATAATAATAATTGAGGGAAATTACCGATGACAGTGCTTTTTTACCACCAATAAACCATCTGCTGACGTGCGTCAAGTTATTTTTGATGCCGTTATAACGCAAGGGTCTGTAATCATTTTTTCTCTTTATAAAACAACTAAGTACGCAAATACAAGGTGATGATGATTCAGCTGCACTGATGAGTGACGTGTAAAATTGTACAATGAGATTTTTCCATATTTTTCTCAACTTGAGAACAAAAAAAATTTCAGTGTAAAAAATCACATTGTAAAAATTTGTTTATAAAACAACAAAATACAGTTATGGTTGTTTAAAAGAAAAAAAAAAAACTTGTGAGGTAAATCAAGACTGTTTGTACAGGAAATCTGATATTTGTAATTTTTAATTAATCTCCTCCATTTGAAACATACGATGTCATACACGAAAGATATTCGAAATAAAAATTCTACCGCTTCGAAAAACGGTTACACCCGATGATCCAAAGTAAATAAAAAAAAAAAAAAATTATTGATTAAATTATTATTTAAATTACTTCCGAAAAACCTCGAAGCACATCGGATTACGACACGTGACGAAAGCTCGCCGGCAACCAGGAGTCAACGGCGCGAAACCTTGCAAAGTACGGGTGTACAAATATATACTTATACAGCTCGAAAAGCACGCGCGGGCCAAAGTTCCTCGCACCTCCAACCGATAATTGCTCTCCATCACGACGACTCATGAGTAGAAAAAAAAGGAAGAAATTTTTCAAAGTCGAAATCAACAAAAGCATCAAACGGCCCTCGATGATAATCCTTGAAAATGTTCTCCGGAAGGGTAAAAGGAATCTTATAATCGCGTGTGCGTCTCTGCCAAAAGCCCATCTCGTGCACGTGTATCCATATAATGCGCGATGGATGAAAAAAAAAAAAAAAAAAAAAAAAAAAAACACGTTATACGCCCTGTTCCTCTACTCGGTGTCAAGTATACATGTATAATTTACTTACGCGGGGGGGTTGGCTTGTGACCTCGAGGTCGCTACACTATACGTAATACACGCTTTTCCCGTTTTGTTTGATCGAAGGACTCGTAAATACACGCCAACGCGGTCGCGAGGATATGTGTAGGAGTCACACAAGCTCGAAAGCTCCCTGAGACATAACATATCGTACACATGCACAATATCTCGGGGTATAAGCCTGTTGTTACTACTCTGTTGCTGCAGGCTAACTTTTTGTCTTTTTTTCTTTTTTTTTTTTTTTTTTTTTTCTTAATTGCCTCGCGAGAGAAAGTGGAGGAGATATTGGCTATGTACTAATACGCGGTGCCGCTGCGTTGCGGCTCTCAGTAGTCGATTGGCTTTCTCACGCGTCGGGTATAATATATAAGTAATACGATTAACCGAGACACGCGCGCCGCTGTGTTAATTGAAAATAAACAAATTAAATCTCGTTTGTGTTATACGTTTTGTTGATAATATTTCCTCGACTGTCACCGGTACCAACTCTTTGGCTATATTATCTCATTGGTAATTTAAGCGGGAAAGATCACTGCGCTGATTCTGGATTAATATTTTACGTTTTTTGTATAACTGCATATTGCACCGTAAGCTTGGCTCCCGAGTCCGATACAAGTAGTTTGCAAAGAAAAAGGTATTTGAATTGAAGATCTTCAGGTTGAAGTTGTTTAAGAAAAGAGCTTTTCCCGCTGGACCGATAATATCTTTTCGAATGAGTACAATTTTTTTTTTTTTTATTTCTTACGCTTTAGTATGTAGGATGTAGAATTTTTTGTAGAGAGCTTTCGATGTTTGAAAAAAATGTTTACTACTTCTTTTTTTTCAGTACTACAGAATTTTTCTAACGTCATTT